ATACAGATAAGTAAGTGTCAGAGTCAGGATTCAAACCCATGTCTCTCTGACTAAAGACCCATGTGCACTATGTTATGATACCTGCCTCCTATTCTTCCCAATAAAACATATGACAAAAATCCTCAAAAGGCATTAGTGATTGTGAAAGAACCAAGAATTATGACTATTCCTTAAACTACATGAGCTAAAGTTTCTAAAGCTTCCAATAAGTATCTTAGTGAGAAGATACTGAAAATTTAAAAATGCCTCTTTATACTTAATTATTATTAATATATATCTCAGTCTGTTACAGATAATATTCTTGAACATACTGACATGTTTTTTCCACTTTTGCTCTTTCTTTATGTGATCTTACCCTATTCAACCCGAGGCATCCTTTGTCTGGAAGAGCATCACTACTCTTATGGCAGAAAGTCAAAGAGAAAAAGTCAATATCAATTTTTAACTCTTAAAATATGCTCTTAGTTAATTAACCCATTCAAAATATGATCTCAATTATAAGCCAGGTGGCTTTCTGTTCTGAATACAGCAATGAACAAAGAAGTAAATCTTGAAACACAAAGGATCTCTCTCTCTCTATCTCTCCTTACTTCTCTCTCTCTCTCTCTCTCTCTCTCTCTCTCTCTCTCTCTCTCTCTCTCTCTCTCTCTCCCTCCCTCCCTCCTTCCCTTCCCCATTTCCTACTCCCTCCCTCTCAAGCTGTCTCTCTCCCTGTGTGTGTGTGTGTGTGTGTGTGTGTGTGTGTGTTTGTGTGTGTGTAGAACCCAGAAATCGACCCGAACCAATATGCTCAATTAATATTTGACAAAGGAGGCAAGAACATACAATGGAGTCAAGACAGTCTCTTCAATAAATGGTGTTGGGAAAATTGGACAGATACATGGGGAAAAAAAATGAAACTAGACCACCAACTTACACCATACACAAAAATAAACTCAAAATAGATATAGGACTTAAATGTAAGACGGGAAAACATAAAAATACTAGAGGAATCCACAGGCAGTGAAATCTCAGACATATGCCAAAGCAATTTCTTCACCGATACAGCTCCTAGGGCATTGGAAACTAAAGAGAAAATAAACAAATGGGACTACATCAAAATACAAAGCTTCTGCACAGCAAAAGAAACCATCAACAAAACAACAAGAAAGCCCACTGCATGGGAGAACATATTTGCCAATGTTATCACCGATAAGGCTTTAATCTCCAACATTTAGAGGGAACTCATACAACTTAACAAAAGGAAGATAAACAATCCACTCAAAAAATGGGCAATGGACCTAAATAGACACTTTTCAAAAGAGGACATTCAGAAAGCCAAGAGAAATATGAAAACATGCTTAAAGTCACTAATCATCTGAGAGATGCAAATCAAAACAACAATGAGGTACCATCTCACACCTGTCAGAATGGCTATCATCAACAAATCAACAAAGGACAAGTGCTGGAGAGGATGTAGAGAAAAAGGAACTCTCCTGCACTGCTGGTAGGAATGCAGACTGGTGCAGCGACTATGTAAGACAGTATGGAGTTTCCTCAAAAAGTTAAAAATGGAACTCCCATTTGACCCAGGGATCCCACTTCTAGGAATATATCCCAAGAAACCAGAAACACCAATCAGAAAGGATATATGCACCCCTATGTTCATAGCAGCACAATTTACCATAGCTAAGATTTGGAAACAGCCTAAGTGCCCATCAACAGATGAATGGAACTGGAGAGCATTATGCTAAGTGACATAAGCCAGTCAATGAAAGAAAAATACCACGTGATCACACTCATTTATGGATAATAAAGACCATTATAAACTGATGAACAAAAATAGATACAGAGGCAGAGCAGCATCAAACAGACTGTCAAACTACAGCAGGAAGGCTGGGGAAGGTTGGGGGGGTGGTAAGAGATCAACCGAAGGACTTGTATGCATGCATATAAGCATAACCAATGGACACAAGACACTGGGGCGTAGGGGATGCTGGGGGAAGGTCAAGCAGGGGAAAAAAGGAGACATATGTACTACTCTTTGTAATATTTTAAGCAATAAAAGAAAATTTTAAAAAATAAATAAATAAAATAAAATGAAACCAAGTTTTGTAGAGGGGAAAAATGTTTTCTACATTCTCTTTATACATACGATTTGAGACCATAGAGGTTGATAAGTAATGATGGTGTAGAGAGGAAGGAGTATATAAAAAAATAAAGTTTTTATCAATCAAGAATTTTTAAAAGCTTTGTACTATTAAAAGAGTGAGAGGGGAAAAAAAAGGCAAAGCAGTATAAGTAGGGTATCCTGGGATCTTAGGGTGATGAGAATGATGAAAACATCCAAATAGGTTTGTGAAAGAAATCCCATTGTAAAGGACTCCCAGATAGTCTTTGTCTTCTATATAGTACCATGGCCAGCAAGACCTACGGGCTCCTCTAGTGGACATTGAAGAGCTGGGAACGGGTGTGGAAGTCACCTTCGCATCCTGCACACTGCAGATTCAGGCAGAGAAAAAGGTGCCTCTGAGGGTTGAGACAGACATGCTGAGACCCAGGGCACTAGAATAAGCCTGGGGTTGGATCAAGGACAAAACCGAAAGTGAAAACATTGAAACTAGAAGCTAGGACGGCAGGTCAGTACCTGAATGATTCCCCAGAAGCCAGCTCAGATGAATCACAGTATCACAGACTTGAAATTCCCTCACTCCACTTTCATTGGGCTTCCCCTGTACCTAGAATCCATCTTAGGAAGTGAAACAGAAAAGAAATACTCATAGAAAGAGGAGAGAAAAAGCACTGTTGGGGAGGTGAATTTTAAATTATTTACCCAGAAGAAACTGAACTAAACCCAGAGGGGTTGAGAAAAGAATGAGTTACCCTGAATCCGTGTCCTCACTTCCCACACCAACGTTACAAAAAGCACAAAGAACCAGTCATAGAATCGAGGTCGTTTTATAACATCTGAATTCATAAAACCTTACAAAATTATACAGACGTGCTATATTCTGGAAAGGTAGTATAATATAAATAAATGCCATTGCAATACATCCTACTATCATTTTATAAAATTCAGAATTTCATAAAATAAATAACTTAGAATTATAGCTGAATTCCTAGAATAAGTGGATCTGATGGACTGTAACAGTTCATAACCAGAGAGAAAAGAACCAGGTAAACAACACCTCACAGAATGCTATTTAACCTTGTGTGTCTGTGTGTGTGCTGCACACATGATGCTAAAAGCACCCTGATATTTTACTGAGACAAGCATGGTCACTGCATAGAGAAGGGACAGGGAACCCTAGCCAGAAAAATCTAGACTCTCAATTTCATTAACTTATTTCCCTTTCAGTTTGTTTTTTTTTAACTCAGTAAAATTATGTCAAAATCTTGGAGTATCACACTTGATTAAAAAAATCTGGACATTATCATTGATTCATCTTTTTTTATCCCTGTAACAAATCCATCACCAAGTCCTGTCAGCTCTTCAGAACTGTAGCTCGAAGGGGCCCATTTGTCTTTTCCATGGCCAATATCATCTATTGCAAAAACTACTAAAACAGCACCCCTACCAGGCTCCTGCTGCACCTTTGGCTCCCTGCAATTCATTCTCTGTAAAGTATCCACAGTGCCTGAAATTCTCCAGTAACTCCCATCGTTGATAAATGAACACTGAATCTTTACTGTGGCTTGGCTACTGACCTGTTTGCCCCCCCCAGTATTACTCTCCTCTGTCTCTGTTACCCCAGAAACACTGACCTCCTTCCTTTCTTGTCTTAAAAATGGTAAGTTGTGTTTCCCTGCAGAGCCTGTCCTCCTCAGATCACAACTCAATGCCTCTTTAAAAAGGATTTTCCCAAGCACCCAAGCAATAGTACAGTAGCCCTCTTTCCCTTGACTTTCCCTCATTTGTTTGTTTATGGGTATATAATCCAGTTATCACTTTAGATATAAACTCCCTGAGGGTAGGGGGCTCAGTATTGTTAATTGAAGGGATAAAAAAATGAATGAATAAATGAATGACTATGGTGACCAGGGGAAAACAGTTAACTTCTTCCCACTGCTTCTCTTCCCACTAACGCCATTCATGTCACTCCCAATTTCACCATGACTGGGAAAAATGACTAGGAATAAGTCAATGAAGAACATAGGAGATGTAGTCCTACATAGCAGTATGTGAAGAGTTTAAAGAGAGATTAGGAAAAGAAAAATTTTAATATAGGAGAAAAAAAGTAAATTTCTTTGAAATATTGTAGCCTCGCAATGCTGGATCTTCCGAGTCAGGAATCTAAAAGTAAGAAATGCCTATGCTCTATAAAATACTGTATAAAATGTATTTTCTGAGTTCAGATATTTAAAATGCACTAGGATATATATTACATAACTGATGAATCCTTTTAAGAGCATTAACATTGATGAAAATTAGGGTTTTTATCTATTGAGTTTTCATGAAGTAGGATAGCCATGTTGTTAATTGACATGAGACACACTATAAGATTATAATTTTTTCACAATTTATGCATAAATAGGCAATCAGGTAAAAGTGATTAGAAAACAATAAATCCAATGCTTATATTTCAATAGAAAACTGACCTTAAGTAACAGATTTCTGTAGACATATTTCTTAGTTAAATTTTAGTTAAAGTTATTATATTCAAGAAAACTTAAAAAACTAGTAATATAGAAAATAGTTGAGTAAAACTCTGGAAGAGTTTAAAATTATATACTCTTCACTTAAGTTGACAGATCAATAACTTTAAAGAGCAGAAATGCTCTTATAGTTATGCATAATGCATAATTGTTTTTGTTTTAGTTACAACAAAACTTGACTATGCTCCCACATAATATGGGAAAAACTTGTTTCTTAATAAAAGCATAATAACTAGCCTATTAATAAGCAGGTTCCTAATGTAGTATCACATTTTGAAATAAAAAAATAAACTACATTCCTATTATGTTACAGATTAATACTTGTTCTCAGAACTATTTCCAAAAAAGAAAAAAAAAATTCTTACCAGACATAAACTGTGTAATAGAGGATAATTCCATTTGGCTCCAGGGGTGGTTTCCATGACAACTTCACCCTGACACCAGACAACTGTTTCACAGAGAAGTCATGGGGGGGAGAATCAGGAGCTGAAAAGTCAGAGTAAAAGATGATGCATTTTATTAAATGTATATTAAAAAGGTTAAAATGAAGGTGCACAAAATTTTTATTATAAACTTTCTGGTAAACGAATCAGGTACAGTGTTTTTTTTCCATGGGCAGGAGAGACTGATGTTTACTTTCAAAATGAGATGATAAAAGAAGATTTTGCATGGTGGTGTTAGAACATCTGTTTCTGTGATTCAATGGAAAAAAACATTTCATGAGAAAAAAGAGCAAGGAGTATTTCACAGTGATTCACCTACTGCTCAAGTACATCTTGGTAAATTATCATTCTCTAATAAAAAGAAACGATGTGGTGTATAAGTATAATATACAGTAAAAAATAGGCTCCGTAGAAAATAAAAATAGATGGGGGGGAAAATCCACATTTAAAAAGTGAAAGTGATAAGCATAATATTGAGAGAGCAGTTAAACTGACCTCACAAATAAAAACTACACACCTCAATTTCAGTTGTGTTAATGAAATGTAAATAATATCAATATCTGTTCACATAGTCTTTGAAATTGAATAGTTTACAAAGGAAACACCAATGCAGCACATAAACAGTGAAATGAAGCTTAGGGTCTACATCCCATTCTGCTATAACAGTGTGAGAAATCAAACACTTTAGCCATTCTAATTGAAGCACTAAAAAAATTGCTGTAAACCAGTTAGCCAAGTGTATATTTCTATTCAGATAAAACATTTAGAATGGCATTTCTCAGTTGCTGTATTACAGTATAGTAATGCTTTGGACTATTAATATACAACTTTTACATATAAAAGGGTATAAATCACTAAAACTAATCATTGTTACAGTTTTACATGGAAAATGAACAAGTAGGAAGTTAATAGAAATTCTGGAAATTTTTTGAGATCTTCAAACAATGTTAATTTATTAATCTGTACATGTGCACATCACTCTTTCCAATAATTTGGATAAAATACTACCTGAATTATTTTTATTTTCTGAATAATCTCAGTTATAGTTGTGTAGATACATGTGTCTCTGAGTGTTTTCTCATTATTTTGGTAACAACGACGTTTAAAAAAAGGTTTATTGAGCAGAGAAAAGGTTTATGAGATGAGCTCTAAGAAATAATGATGACAGCTGTATTTGTATTTTCATTACTGGCAGGACAATAAAAATGCTATCAAACACTGATTATCACAAGAATTCACATATCATTTGGAGATGCCTGTTTCCCAAGACATGCATTACTTCTGAGAGCTCTCATTTGTCAAAACAAAAGCCTATTCTATTTTCCCCAATATCTTTGCAAAACTTAACATTTTTTATTATTCTTTACTATTCTATACTATTCTTTAATATATTTATGTGGAACATAAGTTAATTCTTGGTGTTTTATACTTAATCTTACTATATCCTTGGAAAATATATTTTTATGTAAAACTGTATTGCTTAATAAATGTAATTAATATGCTTATCTAAACAAAATACTGCACATCTATCATAGCACACTGCTATAATCATTTTGGCATTTGTATGAAAATTAGAAAAATAAATGCAATATCTTTTGCATTTTACCCAGTTCATCATGACAGAGAATATGAGAATACATGAGAAGGGTCTTCATAAGGCTCCTACTCCCTGTGCCCGTCATGATCTTTCCTATCTCTCACCCTTCTTCTTTAGTCATCTTCCTTCAAGTCAAAGCTTAGACATAACTTTCTCAGCTGCACTTTCCCAGATGTCTCAGAATAGCTAGAGTCCCTCTTTTGTCCTGGTGAATAATTTTGGGAACACTTATATCAATAATTAGAATTATAAGTATTATTTGTATATACATTTATTAAATTTGTATCTCTTCTACTGAACGGAAGCTCCATGAGGGCAAGGAACTCCTAATATCCAAAAAATCAAACTTTCTCAGGACTTTATCCCTTCCCAATTTCCTTACAGTATTTTGATAAGGGGGATCTTCTTTACCCTTAGCAATTGTATCAATGACTAGGCCAAGGATTTGGATGGATGTTTACCTTGACGGTATTTTTAGCAAGCCAGGTATTCAGATGCATAGTCAATGCATTGAAACTATTGACTTGAGAGGTAACAAACTCTGACTGTTTGAAATATATGTTCACTACTATCCTAGGCTCTTTCATATAATATCTCAAATTCTTAGAACAATTTAATTAGAATAGAGATAAAGAACTGGGCAAATAAATAACAATTTTAATTCTTCCTTTCCAAGTTGGATGTCTTTTATTTCTTTTCCTTGCCTGATTGCTGTAGCTAGGACTTCCAGTATTATGTTGAATAAGAGGTGAAAGAGGATATCCCTGTCTTGTTCCTGATCTTAAGTTTTCCCCATTGAGTATGATGCTAGTTGTGGGTTGGTCATATATGGTCTTTATTATGTTGAGATATGATCCCTCTATTCTCACTTTGCTGAAAGTTTTTTATCATAAATGGGTGCTGGATTTGGTCAAATGTTTTTCTGCATCTATTCAGTAGTTCTCAACCTTCCTAATGCCGTGACCCTTTAATACAGTTCCTCATGTTGTGGTGACCCCCAATTTCATTGTTACAAATTGAACATAATTAAAGCATAGTGACCAATCACAAAAACAATATGTAATTATATATGTGTTTTCCGATGGTCTTAGGCGACCCCTGTGAAAGGGTCGTGACCCACAGGTTGAGAACCGCTGATTTATATGATCATATGGTTTTTATCCTTCATTTTGTTTATGCGATGTATCACGTTAATTGGTTTGCAGATATTGCACCAACCTTGCATCCCAGGAATAAATCCCATTTGGTCATGGTGTATGATCTTTTTACCTCAATATAACGGGCTAATTCAGGCAAGGTGGTGTTCATTAAAGCTGAAAGTCCATTATATAATAAAATGTTTTCCAAATGTGTATATTAAAAAATTGACTAGTTAGTTTGCCTGTTTTACTTAAGTAGGCACATTTGTGAATTAAAATTAAGTATGTATGAGAAGTTTAATTTCACAGAAAAGTTTTCTACATGTATTACAGTCATTTAAAATTTTTACTGAATAGGTCTAGTAAATGGGTGCCTTCACTGCTTTGAGTAAACAAATGCACATGGCTGGGGTGTGGCTTACCTCACATCAGAACATCTGCCAGCACTTGTTTAGACTGGTGCAGAAATTCACACCACAAGACAACAGAACCCATTACCGTATGTAATCATGAGCTAATCGTTTGCAGAACATTATGAGCAGTAACTCTTTGATTTAAATATGTAGAATATAGTTGTAGATATATAATATTTATTTATGTTGACTAAATTACTACAGTGTGTTTTTTTTCCAACATATGGCCTATTCGCTAAAATTTCTTAAAAATAACAGAGAATTAATAACAAAAAAACCCGTTAATTTAATTATGAGCAAATCTTGGTTAAAAGTTTTTAAAAATGAACAGGGTGCTAATTTTCACATATGACATATGGACAGACTATTCTGTCCATTAAATCCAAAGTCTATTAAATTGAGGTATGCAAAATCAAGGGTTTACTGCATTGCTGGATTTGCTTTGCTAATATTTTGTTAAGGATTGTTGCATCTATGTTTATCATGGACATTGGCCTATAATTTTTTCTTTGTAATGTCTTTATCTGGTTTTAGAATTAGAGTAATGCTGGCCTTATAAGATAAGCTTGGGAGTCTTCCTTTCCTCTTGAATTTTTTGAAACAGTTTGAGAAGGACAGCTGTTAGTTCTTCTTTGAAACTTGGTAAAATTCACCTGTGAAGCCATCCAGTCCAGGACTTCTGTTTGTTGGAAGTCTTTTAATTGCTGCTTCATTTTCAGTAGTTGTAATCAGTCTGTTCAGATTTTTCTGTTACTTCTTCATTCAGTTTTGTAAGTTTGTATGTTTCTAGGAATTATCCATTTCTTCAAGATTGTCCAATTTATTGGCATGTAGTTGTTCATAATATTTTATTATAATCCTTTTTATTCCTGTGGTGTTGCTTGTTACTTCTCCTCTTTCATTTCTGATTTTATTTATTTGTGTCCTCTGTTTTTTTTTTCTTGATGAGTCTGGTTAAAGGTTTATAAATCTTGTTTATCTTTTCAAAAAACCAGCTCTTGGTTTCATTGATCATCTGTATTTTTTTAGATTCTATTTCATTTATTTCCACTCTGATATTTATTGTTCCTTCTTCTATTCACTTTGGGTTTCATGTTTTCTTCTTTTTCTAGTTCCTTTAGATGTAAGGAACGATTGTTCATTTGATATTTTTCTTATTTCTTGAGGTGGCATATAATTGTGTCCCACAGATTTGGGTTTGTTGTGTCAGAATGGCTATTATCAATAGATCAACAAACAACAAGTGTTGGCAAGTTTGTGAATAAAATAGAACCCTTGTGCACTATTGGTGGGAATGCAGACTGGCACAGCCACTATGAAAAAGAGTATAGAGGTTTCTCAAAAAAATTTAAAATGGAACTGCCTTGTGACCCAGTGATTCCACTTCTGGGGTTATATCCAAAAAAACTAAAAAGACTAATTCAAAAGAATGTATGTGCCCCTATGTTCATTACAGCCTTATTTACAATAGCCAAGCCAGGGGAGCATCAATAGATGAGTAAAATATTACTCAGCCGTAAAAAAGAATGCAATCTAACAATTGGAAGCAGCATAGATTATCCTAAGGGAAATAAGTCAATCACAGAAAGGCAAATGCACATGATTTCACTTTTATGTGGAACAAAAGAATATAAATTAACAAACAGAAACAGACTCATAGATATATAAAATAGACTGTTTGCCAGAGAGAAGGTGGTGGCGGACTGGATGAAAAAGGTGAAGGCATTAAAAAGTACAGATTGGGAGTCAAAAAATAGTCATGAGAATGTAAAATACAGCATATGAAATATAGTCAATAATATTGTAATAACTATGCATGGTGCCAGGTGGGCACTGGAAATACTATTGAGGGGAACCCTTTGTAAAGTATATGATTGTCTAACCACTATACTGCACACTTGAAACTAATACAAAGTAAAATTGAGTATAAATTGTAATTGAAAAAAATTTTAATTTTAAAAATACAATTTTGGGCAGATAAAGGTTGATGGAGAAATAAGCATAGCAAGTAGAGGCAATAACTAGGGAAGACTAACCTCTAAGAAGACTTAGAAACTGGGTCAACCCAGAGCACCCTACCACCATGCTCTAGTGAAGTAATTTGGTGGAGGGGAAACCATGGGGACCTGAAATGGGAGAAGAGGCCTCCAAAGACTTTATCATATTGCATAAAATAAGAGCAATGCAGAGAAAAGTCTTCCTTTTATAAGAGTACAATGCAGTTTGTCCTGGTGAATGAATCTGAACATACACAGGATACAAACTAGCTTGAAGATTGGGAAACTTGAAAGAGAAAAGGAAAAACAAACACCCTACAAATGCTTATGATACATACAGCGCCGCTCCCCCGCTCCGTTAGAATAGAGCATCCTTTTATAGTAGAAATTAACAGTCCCCAAACACACAATATATAAAAAACAAATGCAAATCAAAACCCAAGTATATTCCTAAAAGTTAATTTTCTTAGCATGATATATGCTTCTAACTTGGTGAAATACTGGTGTAAAGTGGTCTTGGTAGTGAAGCTGATTTTATTTAGGTTAAGAAAAGGTATATTTAAATATTCAATAGGAAGGCTATAAACAATCAGGAATAACATCTTGCAAATTATGGAGTGAACCTGGAAAACAGCCTGAGCTCATTAACAAACCAATTCTAATGCGATAAGAAACTGTTACAGGTTCACATAACAGAATCTACTATAAAACTTATGTAAATGTCCATTCTTATGAACATAAAAGTTGAACTAATGAACTTATGAACAGTTATAACTAGTACATTGGTTGATGTTCAAACTATTCAAACAAAAATTTTAACCTTACAAATTTCAATGAAAAAAAAATTAGTGATTTTTTTTTACAGGGCATGGATGACACCAGAGTAATTAAAAAAGTATCTTACACCTGATTTTATTGAACATAAATCTGACTATACTATTTTTTCACCATGACAATGAAATCTGTGTAATGCTGGAATGGCACACAACTGATACCCAAGGATACTGTTGTTGTTGTTGCTGTTTTTTAATTATATCTTTATCTTCATAGGTTTTTTCTGAAATGTGATGGATTCTAAATACATCACTATCCATTACCATACTTACCATCTTCTTCTGTCAGCACACTAATTGGCGCACTCCGAACTCCTTCACCTTTGAGTGTACTAGCAGACACTTCAATTATATATTGGGTATATTTCTTCAGTCCTAAACAGAAACAGAATTTACAAGTTGAGACTTACTAAATATCCTTTAATAATATGCATGAAGCAAACTATGAAATGTCTCTTAACAATCATCCAAAAGTAAAAGCTAAGTGGAAATGTAGATCTTTGAAATAGTAACTCCTGTTATGAAGACAAAATGATACAGGCTAATGTAGACAAGGACTGACCTAGAATACTCTTTCATGTGACCTGAAATAAATGCCTGGCTTATCTAACCAAAAACCCAGAGTGCCATAGCCTGTATAAAACTGCTCCCACTCACACTTAATATTTATAATAGAACAAGCTAATATTTTGTGGCCACCCTGTCAATATAAAGGTAAATATTTAACTATATATTTATATATATATATAAATATTTAACTCTCTCTCTATATATATATGTGTGTGTGTGTGTATATATATATGTATGCATATATATGTATATATATATATGTATGCATATATATATATATATATATATATATATATGTATTTTTTACCTTTAATGTTCTGGATCAAAGAGGTTGTATCTATAGTTCTTTCCTCATTTCCATTACTTCTCCTGAGATAAATTGTATATTTTTGTATGATTCCATTAGGATTACGTGGGGGATGGAATGATATTTCAATCTCTCCAGAGGAAATATTTTTGTAAGCAATATTTTCTGGTGCACTACCAGGTACTAAAAGAAAAGAAAAAGAAAATAAATGTATAAAATAATTCCATCCTAAAAATCTATTCTGCTGAACTTCTCATTCATGACCACTACAATGTGATTGTAATAAATATTCTAAATGAAGTAAGGTGTAGGTAAATTATACACTAAAAAGAAAATTTTCATCTCAAAAGAAAATTCATACTATTATTTTATATAATAACTGGAGGCCCAGTGCTTGAAATTCATGCACAGATAGGGTCCCTAGCAGCTGCCATCTACTGGCCAGGGCCTCCCTTCACACCTGCCTTGGCCTAGTGCTGCCTGCTACCTGCTCCACCATCCCTTCGTGGTCCCTCTCTCATCGGGGGCCCACCAGGGCTGGCAGCATCTCCACTGCTGCCTGCTGCCAGCACAGCATCGCCCATGCCCACCATGTTCTGCGCCATCCCCTGGTAGTCAGCGCACGTCTAATTTCTGGTTGGTCGAGCTCCCACCCCGTGGGGACAATTTGCATATTAGCCTTTTATTATATAGGATGCTTATAGGATGATATTTTTATGAAAATGCTTGTAACTGTATTAAGCTACCTTGCACTGCAGAACACAAGGTGAAAGAAATAGGATTGAAAAACACTTTTAAAATGATTGCTTTTTATTAAATATATATAGTTAATAATTAGTTTAGTCTAAAACAAGATCTATTACAAGGCAAGTAATTTTATCTAGACATAATGGTGTATATTATGGCCTGGCAACAAAACAGTCTTAAAGCACTAGTTCTTTTTGTGTCTACTAATGTTTTCACTCTATTAAATGCAGTGGTCATAAATGGTTCTCTACATATGTTCAAATAACTAAATATGTGTGATTCAAATTCTGGCAAAATAGATATTCTAAATTGAATGACTATCTTACTTAAAATAATTAAAACACTGCATAAAATAAAAACACATCTTTCTTTTAATTACTTGCCAAGGTGACAGGAAAGAAAGAAAACAGTGGTGACCAAAAAACAAAAATCCTATCTAATAAAAGAGTAATATGCAAATTGACCATCACTCCAACACACACAATGGCCGCCCCCATGTGGTCAAAGATGGCTGCCCCATGTGGACACAAGATGGCCACCACAAGATGGCCAGCAGGGGAGGGCAGTTGTGGGCGATCAGGCCTGCAGGGGAGGGCAGTTGGGAGGGACCAGGCATGAAAGGGAGGACAGTGGGGGGCAATCAGGCCTACAGGAGAGGGCAGTTAGGGGCAACCAGGCTGGCAAGGGAGGGTAGTTAGGGGTGACCAGGCTGGCAGGGGAGGGCAGTTAGGGGTGACCAGGCTGGCAGGGGAGGGCAGTTAGGGGCAATTGGGCCAGCAGGGGAGCAGTTAGGTGTTGATCAGGTTGGCAGGGGAATGGTTAGGGGCAATCAGGCAGGAAGGCAGGCGAGTGGTTGGGAGCCAGCAGTCCTTGATTGTGAAAGGGATATCCAACTGCCAGTTCAGGCCCAATCCCCCGGGCAGTTGGACATCCCATGATGGGTCCCAGATTGGAGAGGGTTCAGGCTGGACTGAGGGACCCCCCCCCGCCCCCTCCCCCTGCACGAATTTTGTGCCCCAGGCCTCTAGTAAGTAAAATAAAATAAAATAAAATATAAAATAAAATAAAATAAAATAAAATAAAATAAAATAAAATAATAAAATAAAATAAAATGAAATAAAATAAAACAAAACAAAACAAACAAACACACACAATAAAATCAGTATCCTCAGAAGGAAGCTAGTACTAAAGCCAGCTTTGCCTTGGAGGATATTGGTTAATCCCAGTGACTTTGAGCTTCTGTATTAATAGCTGTGCCAGAGAAAGACGTGGACCGGAAGAAGGGTAAGGGACATCCTGCATAAAGAGCTAGAATCCATAAGAATGCAATTTCAACAAGAACCATTATATGGGACAACTCTAGGGGGCACCTTGAATTCTTCTACAGAATGCCATAAAATTCACCACAAGCGGTCACTCTTGGATTAGTGCAATGAGGTCTATTCACTCTCGGGGACTGGAGAGTGGAGAGTAAATCCACTGTACAAAAGAGGACAGAAAAGAAACTTTTTTCTCTTGCCACTCTTCTTGATAAAGAGGTGGGAAAGAAAGAAAAAGTATGCAGTTGTGGAACTGCAAGTCTGTTCCTACAAACTTATATGGCCCAAATCCTGCTGCATATACAGCCTGAAAAAACCTCTACTTCAGAATTTAAATTAAAAAAAAAATCTGTAATTCTGAGTTGCTATCATTCAAAAGCAAATAACAAAAGTAAACATGAATTTCTGAAGAAACTCAACTCGGGCCACATAAATTTGCCACACATAAGTTTCAGGGAATATGAGTTCACTAATAAAATCACTAAACCCCTAAGCAAATTAGGCACTGACAGTTAAATGCTAGCAAAGAAAAAGGAAAAAATAATACACATACACTCAAATACACACACTCACACAAACACACGACTTCAACTATTGAACTTTCTATAGAATAAAAATATGGATGTTTAGTATATTTCAAGGAATAAAACATTTTTTTTAAATATGAACAGATAATTCTTCAAATAATAATAATAAATAATATAAATAAGCAAGCAGGGTTGATGAAGAACCAGACAGGCTTTCTAGAACAGAAAAACAAACTCACTGCATTTAAAATTCTCTTGATATGTAAAAGATAGAAATTTAGTGAGAAATTTGATAGTATTGGAGAAATTATCAAAATGTAGCTTAGAGAAAGAAAATATAAGATATAAAATGTCAGTTAGATATAAAGGGTATACTAAGAAGATCTAAGATATTAGAATGAGAAGAGTTACTTAAAAAGATAATGGTTGAGACTTTTATTATATATATAATATATATTATATATTATATATGTTATATATCTTATAATATATACAATATAAATATAAATATAAATATAAACATAAATATATATATATATATATATATATATATATATATATATATATATATTTCAGAGAGAAAGGGAGATAGAAACATCAATGATGAGAAAGAATCACTGATTGGTTGCCTCTTGCACACCCCACACTGGACATGTGCTCTGACCAGGAATCAAACCATGACCTACTGGTTCGTAGGTCGATACTCAACCACTGAGCCACGCCACAGGACATGGCTAAGACTTTTCAAAATAATTGAAAGATATCAAACTTCAGATCAAGGAATTTCAATAAATCTCAAGCAGAATTTTTAAAAAAATCATATTTAGGTACTTCATTGTGAAAGTACAGTATACAAAGAAGAGAGATGGTCTTAAAAGCACCAGAAAAAGACATATCATCTATTTAGGAATGACAATTAGACTGACAATTGAAATTAATTGAAAAACAACTGGAATTTTACAGCCAGAAAAATTAGTAAGATTTTCAGACAATCAAGAACAAAAAATACCATCAACACAACCTCAATAAATGAAATTTTAAATAATGTACTCTCAAGAAAAAAAAATTCCTAGAGATGAAAAACCACAGTTGCAAAGATAATGTTTAAACATCGTCTGCACAAAACAATAACAATAATGGCTAATTTTGGAAATAAACAATATAAACTAAATAAGTAAATATTATTTTCATTAGAGTCCTGCTATTAAAATATTTCCTTTCAAAAGAAAAAATGAGCCTTTTATATGTATCCTAAATACCATGTACATCAATAGTGCTACTATTAAATTTAATAAAGTAGAGAAATAAAATCCTGAAGTCTTAAAAATGTAGATACAGTACCCCCCCATACCAATTATTACCTGCTATGAAGTGTATTGTATCTAAGTCAGACTTCATAGAAAAAAAAATTGACCTAAGAATATTGATAGTTCTAAAATTTTTGGAAGGTTTGTAAATCAGAACATAATTTGATGTAACAATATATAGCAATGTAATCCTACTATCCCTTCCCAAACATCCAAAATCTACTCAGAATGCTTTGTTAGCTTTCTGGAGTTCAGTGAAATCTTGGACCTGCTGAGAACACTACATCTTAGCCCAGGTGGGTAACAGGTAGCCATTTGTTTTTCTGCATAATTTCTATAACCACAGGACCTTGGAGTTGAATAGTTGTATTTATTGATCCTCTTTGCCATATTCAGATCTTTTCTCCTTCCTTCCTCCTGAAAAATTTTATGAGCTACACTTTCTTAAGACAGTTATCTAGTGACACTCTGCCACTTTTCCAAACATCTTAAAAAATTTACCACCTGGTTGACTGACTTCCTCTCTACCACTCATAGAGACGTCAACATTGATGCAAATGATCTATCCAATTTCCTGGTGTCATACCGCTAACCAATTACATGAGCTCTCATCTTACTGTACTGTCAGTAGCACTTGACATAGGAAATAAATTCCTTCTATTTGAAAATCATTATTCACTTGCCTTCCAAAACATGATCTTGTCCTGTTTTTTTTTCCTACCTCACTGGCCACTTCTGCTTAGTCCTTGACTTGCTCCTCCTGACTTCCCAAATTATACAATTATGATGCCCCCAGGACATAATTATATGCTTCTTTTCATCTGTAGGACATTCACCCTGATGTGACTTTATCTCATACCTTGACTTTGAATATCAGAGATATGGTGGTGGCTCCAATTTATGTATTCAACTCTGGATTCCTTCCCTGACGTTCAAACATATATCCAACTGCTTTCATGATAGTCACTTGGATATTTCAAACATATTCAAAACAAAACTACTGAATTTCTCTAAACTGACCTTCTTCCTAACTTCCCCATCTCAGTAAATGGTGCCATCATTTACTCACCCAGATATGCAGATCAAAAAATAACCCTGACTTTACTCCCAAATCCAGCATATTCAGCAGCAGTCTCCTAAAACTACAAATCGGACCAGGTTCTTGTCTCATAATTCTCTAATAGCTTCCCATTAAAACTAACCAAACTTCTTATATTGGTGCCCAAAAATCTGCATGGTCCACCTCTGTCTGTCTCTCTCTCCTCATCTGCTAAGCTCCCCTT